TTTCAAAGGAAACGGAGAATGACACCCGGGGATGAGGACATCTGCAAGGAAAAATGCAAGGAATTGCTAGAAGCAGGACTGATACAGAGATCAGAATCGGAGTACGCAACACCGACAGTGGTAGCCGCACAAAAGGACCTGCTGGGAGAGGTGCTGAGCCGGCGTATGTGTGGGGATTACCGAGCACTGAACAAGGTGACAGTGCTCGATAGGTACCCAATGCCGACAGCGGAGGACATTTTCGACCGACTGGGGGCAGGGGAGATCTTTAGCACGCTAGATTTGAGACAGGGCTTTAACCAGATCAAGATCAGGAAGGAGGACGTGCGTAAAACAGCATTCCATGGTGCAGACGGGTTGTACGAATGGCTGTTTATGCCATTTGGGCTGAGGAACGCGTCAGCCATCTTCCAAAGGGTAATGGACAGTGTACTGAGGGGGCTGGAGTGTGCAGCATGTTACATAGATGACGTGGTGATATTCAGCAACAGTGAGGAGGAGCACGTGCGAGACGTGGAGCGGACGCTGAAGGCGCTGGCGGCAGCAGGGCTGACCTGCCACCCAAAGAAATGCAGGTGGGGGGAAGCGACCGTGCAGTACCTAGGGTATGAGGTCAGGGGCGGACAGATAGGGATTCAGCAGGCAAAGGTCAAGGTGTTGAATAGGCTGCAGCAGCCAAAGGACAGAAGTGGACTGAGAGCGGTGATCGGTTTTCTGAGTTACTACCGAAGGTTCGTCCCTAATTTCAGCAAGCGTGCATCACCGCTGAATGGGCTGCTGAGAGAGGACAAAAGGTGGGAATGGGGGACAGAGCAGGAAGCAGCTTTGAGAGACCTGATGGAGGCAGTGCAGACAGCAACGATTCTGCAGCTGCCCAAGGCCGACAAGCCCTTCTGCTTGTACACTGACTGGAGCAGCCAGGGTATGGGGGCAATCCTGTGCCAGGAACTGGACGGAGAGGAGAGAGTAGTGGCGTACGCGAGCAGAAGCTGTAGCCCAGCAGAGGCCAAGTACAGCTCTTATCACGGTGAGGGGCTGGCTGCAGTATGAGCTGTGAAGCACTTCAGAGTGTACCTGCAAGGGAGGGAATTCACACTGATCACAGATCATCAGCCGCTGCAGTGGCTGATGACTCACCAGGGGCTGACGGGGAGAAACGCGCGCTGGGCCATGACTCTGCAGGAATACGATTTCAAGATACGCCACAGGCCAGGGAAGACACTGCAGCATGTGGACGGGCTCTCGAGGAACCCGCCAGTAGCAGAGCCGGTGCACGCGCTGATGCTGCTCACTAGGCAAGGGGAGGAGGCAGCAGCAGAAAAGCAAGGAAAGAGGGGTCCACAGGACAAATGGAAGGATCCCACGGCCCTGCGGTGGATTAAGGGGGAAACAGAGGAGAACAAACAGGTGACAGACAGGGTGAGAGCACGAGGGCACCACTACCGTTGGTACCAGGGACAGTTGCAGCTGCAGTCAGTGGATGGGTGGAAGCTGGTGCCTGCGCCGCAAGAGAGGGAAGGGGTAATAGAGGAGGTGCATAGGAAGCTGGGCCACTTCGGGCATGAGCGCACAACTCAGCTGCTCAAGACCGGCTGGTGGTGGGAAGGGATGAGGAAGCAAGTCAGAGAGTGGGTCAGTGGTTGTGAAGGCTGCCAGAGAAGCAAGGCCAGCTTGACCCAGGCAAAGCAGGAGCTGCAATCACTGCCGATCAGAGGGTTGGGGTTTCGGTGGTCTCTGGACATAGCCGGCAAGCTGCCGCTGAGCAGGGGAGGACAGCGGTACATCCTACTAATGGTGGAGCATGCAAGCAAGTGGTTAGAAGTGTGTGCGTTGCCGAGCAAGGATTCCAGACGTGTGGCGAAGGCATTCAAGGGACAGGTGCTGTGCAGATTCGGGGCACCAGGGGAGGTACTCACCGATCAGGGCACGGAATTCAAGGGGGAGTTCCAAGCGCTGCTGGACGAGGCAAGGGTGACACACAGGCAGACATCAAGGTACCATCCTCAGAGTGATGGGCTGACCGAGCGGCTGGTGCAGACCTTGAAGCGGAACCTGAGGGCGTACGGAGAGAAGCGGAAGAGGGACTGGGATGAAGAATTAGACTGGGTGGCGGCAGGGTACAGGTTCGGGAAGCAGGCGTCACTAAAGGACTACTCCCCGTATAGCTTGCTGTATGGAAAGGAACCAATACTGCCCGTGGGAGCACCAAGGGTACTGACGGGGGTGGTGAGCGTGAAGAGAGCGGAACAGTGGGTGGCGCTGGCAGAAGCACGAGCAAGATACATGAGGGAAATGCTCCCGGCTGCCTTGGAGAACTTGCACACGGCGCAGTTGAGAGATGCCCACAGATACGAGTAGCGACAGCAGCAAGAAGGCAGGAAAGCGAAGCCAGCAGTGACAGAGGGACAGGAAGTCTACCTGCGCAGAGCGAAGAAAGACACGCTGGACGTGGGGCTGGGAACAGAGAGGTGGTAGGTTAAAGAGGTGAGAGGGTCATGGGTGCTGGTGCTGGAAAATGAGAGAGGAGAGCGGGCAATGGATCACCAGACGAACACGGCGGCAGTGAAGGAGAGATGGCCTCAGCAAGAGGGTCCTGTGACACGTGCACGGGCAGCCCGAGCACGAGCACAGGAGGGGGCATGGAGTGGCTGAGGAAGGGATGACTGTGCAAGGAGAGGAGGAAAAGGGGACTGAGCGCAATAAGGCATTAACAAGGGGAGCGAGCAGAGTAATGCAGGAACAGGGCGAGGGTGAGAGGCAGTAAGGGAAGGGACTCCGACACCTTTCACTGAATATCATGGTAAGAGCATTATATTCTGTAACTGTGCTAACTGGGGTGTAGAAGCAGTGTAGTAATTGTCATTCAGTTTGTACATTAGGTAGTTGGGACATTGGGAGAAGCGCGAAGTTGGTAGTATGGGGGATTGCAAGGCGCTGCGGGCACAATTCCAGGGCCCTCGAGAGACAGGAAATCTGGCACGAGGCCAATACAAAGCCAAGGCGGCTCGAGCCCAACCCATTACGCTGAGAATCTCGCGACTGGGTGGCCTATCATAAGTAAGCCTAGCCTAGCATAGTACTCTTGTTCTCTCGTTTGTTTACAACTGCATAGTGGACTTATGTTACCGTTCTAAGCTACAGCAGCCAAGTGATAGACGCCACTCTTGGTAGCCAATTGTGGGAGCCGAATCTCTCAATGGAGTGGCTGAGGAAGGGATGACTGTGCAAGGAGAGGAGGAAAAGGGGACTGAGCGCAATAAGGCAGGAACAAGGGGAGCGAGTAGAGTAATGCAGGAACAGGGCGAGGGTGAGAGGCAGTAAGGGAAGGGACTCCGACACCCCCATCGATCGACATTCTCCCGACTGTATAGCTTGCTAGGCAGGGCATGCAAAGTTCGGTCTAGGGTGTTTGAATACTAAGTATTTTCAGCACGCGTACACAAAACATACCACAAACGCGAGTAGGAAGTCCCCATTTCGTGGTTTGGTACCCCAACCCCTCTGCCAAATGTTTTGGGACATCAGAATTATGTGATCCCGCCGGATGCCGCGTGGTGGGGTATCGGCTTGGATTTCTAGGTTGGAGTTCATGTCGTGAACGACAGTTAATCGGCCGGTTGGGGCAGCGTGGTGGCGAATTATAGTCGATCGTCGGGGTAGTGTGGTTTACTAGAGTGATCTGTAGTTGAATGGGCCATGTTTGACGAAGCCACGTGTTGGGTCTCTCACCACGATCGGTGCTCAACTTCGGAAGTTGAGCACAATTTGCAAACGTGGCAGTAAGTGGGTGGTTCTTGCCATTCACAATCAGAAATCGATCACAAACAGGGTGGGTGTGTTATTCCGAAGCTGTGCATCGCGATAGAGTTGGGAGTTGTCTGGCAGCTGTAGGAAAAATAGTGATTATACTTAACATATGAATTAGGTTCATTGTTATGTTATTGTATCAAGAATTCAAATTCTGGGTGTTATGTTGTTTTTGTAATCGTTCATTCCAATTTTTTCCTGTGGTATCTTTTTTAATTATTCTGTTACATCGTATTACTGGGTAGTATATTGTATTTATCTTCGTTTAATTATTGGGTAGTATATTGTATTTTGTTTTACTGGTTGGTATTATTCCACTCACATGTTTAATTGGTTACTGCGGTTTTAATATTGGCAGTGTCGATGCTTATAAACTGCCAGCTCGTGCTTTAGGGAGTTCCTCAAATCATGGCTTTCGAGTAAGATTTGAGGGTGTAGCTGTCAGGATGATCAGATTCGCGCCAATTTTGAAAGTGCCAGTCTTTTCACACGTGACCATTGGTTGTACTTGCACCCACTGGCAACCGTGCACCCAGACGTTTCTGATTGGGTGGTGTCAGTACAGCTCCACCTTCACGTTCAGGGTTGCAAAACCGTACCTAACCGCATAGAAAACCAGTTAAAGCGCTATATTATGCACAGCATCGCATTATACCAGATGAGTACATACATCAAACAGGATTTCGAGCTGGAGCAAAGACTCGAATCTCCCTAGCGAAATTCTCTCGACATTCGTGAGCACAATAGAGACTAAGTAGTCAGACCCTTGTGCTAGTTAAACCCTGTTACTATCTTATTTAGTCTGAGTGATCACCTCCTCCGCTATAAATCCCCTCGTGTGTATCTCAGCAGACTTGGCCATCCGCCGTACAGGCAACGAACTAACTACTCGCCACGGGTCAGGAGCGGTTTCGTGTGGAACCTTGTTGCATTTGTCCTGGTCGTCCCATTCTGCCTATTGTCTCTTCCACGCATCCGTGCCTCGTGCATTCTGTGATTTCGTCTGTTGCTTGCATCCGCGCCTCGCTCGTCTCCCCCTCTCGTCCGTTCCTTGTTCGCGCCTCGTTCCCATTCCAGCTCTCGTCCGATACTCCATACCGCGCCTCGTTCTTTGCTCTCACTAGTCAGATCCTCCCTTCCGCAAGCGTACACTCTCCTTCTCTGCGCCTCTCCTCCATTGAGCGTACCCTCTCATGCCCCGCTGCTCCTCTCTTCCATTGTGCGTGCACTCTCTTTCCCCTCCGCGCCATTCGCATTTTGTCCCCATCATCTCCTCCTGTGCGTATACTATCACATACACCGCTGCTCCTCTCCTCCCTTGCGCCTTCTCTCTCCCTACCTCCCGCTCCTCTTTTTCCGTGAGCCCTCCCTCTCATTCCCCTCTCATTCTCTCATTCCGTGCACCATCCCTCTCATTCCCCTCTCATTCCCCTCTCAAACTCTCATTCTGTGCGCCTTCACTCTCATTCCCCTCTCATTCTATCATTCCGTGCGCCTTCACTCTCATTCCCCTCTCATTCTCTCATTTCGTGCGCCTTCACTCTCATTCCCCTCTCATTCTCTCATTCCGTGCGCCTTCACTCTCATTCCCCTCTCATTCTCTCATTCCGTGCGCCTTCACTCTCATTCCCCTCTCATTCTCTCATTCCGTGCGCCTTCCCTCTCATTCCCCTCTCATTCTCTCATTCCGTGCGCCTTCACTCTCTTTCCCCTCTCATTCTCTCTTTCCGTGTGCCTTCGCTCTCATTCCCCTCTCAGTCTCTCATTCCGTGCGCCATCCCTCTCAGTCTCTCTTTCCGTGCGCCTTCACTCTCATTCCCCTCTCATTCTCTCATTCCGTGCGCCATCCCTCTCATTCCCCTCTCATTCTCTCATTCCGTGCGTCATCCCTCTCATTCCCCTCTCATTCTCTCATTCCGTGCGCCTTCACTCTCCTTCCCCTCTCATTCTCTCTTAGGGTGTGCCTTCCCTCTCATTCCCCTCTCACTCTCTCATTCCGTGCGCCTTCACTCTCCTTCCCCTCCCATTCTCTCATTCCTTGCGCCTTCACTCGCATTCCCCTCTACTCCTCTTCTCACGTGCGCGTTCTCTCGTCCCCCTCTGGTTCACTCCTCACGTGCGCGATCTCTCTCGTAACCCTCTATTCTGCGCCGCCTTCCTTGCTCTCACTTGTCCCACCCTCCATTCCGCGCCTCGCCCCCATTCCTCGTGACATGTCCTGAGTTTCCTCTCATGCGAGTTTGTCCCATTCCCCTCTGCTCCGCTCCTCCCGTGCGCATGCTCTCTCTTTCCCCTCTGCGCCTATCCGCCCATGCGCAATTTGTCTTTTTCCCCTCTGCTCCTCTCCCCCCTTTGCGCCTTCTCGCTTGCTCCCCTCTGAATCTCTTCTCCAGTGCGCCCTCCCTCTCTTCCCTCTGTTTCTCTTCTAGTGTGCACTCTTTCTCTTGTTCCTGTTTGTTTCTCTTATCATGTGCGCCTACACACGCATCCCCACCTGTTGATCTTCTCTAGCTCTCCGTCTCCATCACTCCTCTCTGTTTCTCTCCTCCAGTGCACCTTCTCTCTCCCGTACGCTCGTCCTCGCTATGCTCCGTTGCCTCCTACCCCTTTCATCCTATGCTTGTATTCTCTAGTTCCCCGTTCATCCTGTGTTTGTCTTCGCTGGTTTTCCCCTTCCCCATCATCTCATATGCTTGTCTTCTCAGGTTTCGGCCTTCCACTGGCCTCATATGCTTGTATTCTCTGGTTTCCCCTTTCCCCTCCCCACCTATGCATGTATTCTCTGGTTTCCCCCTTCCCCTCCCCACCTATGCATGTATTCTCTGGTTTCCCCTTTCCCCTCCCCACCTATGCATGTATTCTCTGGTTTCCCCTTTCCCCTCCCCACCTATGCATGTATTCTCTGGTTTCCCCTTTTCCCTCCCCACCTATGCATGTATTCTCTGGTTTCCCCCTTCCCCTCCCCTCATATGCATGTATTCTCTGGTTTCCCCTTTCCCCTCCCCTCATATGCATGTATTCTCTGGTTTCCCCTTTCCCCTCCCCTCAAATGCATGTATTCTCTGGTTTCTCCCTTCCCCTCCCCTCATATGCATGTATTCTCTGGTTTCCCCATGCCCCCGCCCTTCAAGTCGCTTGTCTTCTCTAATTTCCCCTTCCCCTGCCCTCCTAAGCTTGTCTCCTCTTGTTTCTCCCTTCTCCTGTCCTCGTAAGCCTTTCTTCCCTGGCCTCCCCCTTCCCCCGCCCTTCAAGTCTTGTCTTCTCCCGTTTCTCCCTTCTCCCCTACTCCCAAAATTCTGGCAGATGTCATTTCTCTGCCCAAGATGTCGTCTCTGTGCATTCGACACTCGATCGGGTTTGGGATGCCACATGCAGAGCAACTCCTGCCCTACAAACCTCATTAGCAGTAGCGAGCAGCTGCAGGCCCCCAAGCGCGCAAGGTCAAGCTTCATCCCTCCTTACCCCATTCCGCGTGCAGTACTTAGGTTGGAGCCTGTGCATGCAAATGTAGGAACGGGTGTTGCGGAAGATGTGTGTATTGATGTACCTCCTATTTCTCGTGCTGATCCAACAGACACTAGTGATACTTCCTCATCCTCTGATTCAGTAGATAGCGCGCTGCCCTTTGAACAAGATGACGATGCGTCTAGTAACGCTGCTGTATTTGGTGCTGATGATGATGGTGGGGAGGGAGCTCAAGCAGGTGTTGCACTGGCGGAAGAGGAAGATGCCCCTCAGTTTAACCTCAAGGATGCTCTTGCGCACTGGATCCTCTCCAACCGACTCTCTATCAATCAGATTAACGCTCTATTGGAAATCCTGCGCAAGACCATTCTTGAAATACAAGATTGGAAGTCCTACCGAGACGTGCAGGCGTACGCTGAGTCTAGGACGACGGATGGCCACCGAGGATGGCGACGAAAGACCATCCGGTCACGTAACAAGGCTTGGCTGGAGTATTGGTATTGTGATCCGTTGATTGCTCTGCAGGACCTGTTGAAGAACCCCAAGCTGGCTGCCAAGATGGTGTTCCATGCAGATCCTCAATATGTGGGGAACGTGAGGGTGTATAGTACCCCCGAGACAGGCCTATGGTGGGAGAGGTTGCAAACTTTGGTGCGGGAGGAGGATCCGGATGGAGTTGTGGCTGCTTTGATCCTTGCGAGTGACGAGACGCATATGGATCATAGAGGGAAGGCGAAGGGTCATCCTGTGTATCTCATGTTGGGTAACATTGATAACGACGACAGGTGGCAACCCTTTGGGCATGTGCTACTAGCACTGCTCCCTGAGTTTCCTGCAGAGTACAACGTAGTGGACAAGATGCAAGTCCACAATTACATCATGCGAGAGGTGTTGCAATCTCTTAAGACGGCATCCTACACCGGCATAGCTATGAAGAATGCTACAGGCGAGTCAATCAACGTGTGGCCCTATTTGTACGCTTATGTGTCGGACTACCCAGAGTCATGCAAGATTACGTGCACAAAATCCTTGGGTACTTTGTTTCCGTGTTCGATTTGTAAGGTGGACAAGAAGCACTTGGCAGTGCTGCACGATCGTATCCAGGCTCGTACACCATTCGAGCAGGATACCATTGTGCGAGACATCTTAGAAGGCCGGCTCGCACTAGATGCGGAGGCAACCTTCTCCACCCACCCTGTGCAGGTATAGTATGATGTGGGTGCTGTTTTAGGGTCATTCTATGGGCTATACCATGTGCAGAACTAACCTCTAGGTGCTGGTTCTGTTTTTTGCAGAGTTTCCTAGGTGGCTGGAGGTGGGATTCCGACACCATTCTCAACCCGTACCTTGCGGTGCTGCCCGATGTGATGCACCAAGCAGATTTGGGCATTTTCGAGCACATTGTCAACTTTATTTGCGCGCATGTGAAGTTACTGGCAGATAGAAAGAAGCTGGACAAAATCCTTAGGTACTACACGAGAAGTATTAGAGGGGGGAACATGCGTTTACCCGCGGGTCAGTACTTCGAAAAGGGGGCGAACTATCAGGCATACGAACACCGGTCGGTCATGCAGATTCTGCCCTTCATCGTGAAGGGTTTTATTACGCAGCCACAGATGGACGCACTCGTTTCATACATCGAGTGGTGCTTCGAGTGCGCGCGGGCATCGGAACAGACCGACACCTCCCTCCTTGAGTTCAAGACAAACGCACACCGGTGAGTAGTATAGTTCACAGTGTGTTGCGTTCATTCTCCGACTGCTTGCTAAATATTGATCGACATGTTTTGGCCTATATGTAGGATATTACACAACCTCAAGACCGCATTCCCGCACACATCGGATTGGAACTTCATTAAGATGCACCTCATCAGTCACTACATAGACTCCATTCGTAGGTCTGGCTTGCCCGAGCATTATTCTACACAACTATACGAGCATCTGCACATAGAGTACATGAAAAACCCTTACCGGGCATCGAATAAACGGTTAGTCAATAGCCAAATCGTCGGCAGCGAAGAGGCACGGCTTCGTCTTCAGTATATCGCGCCACAACTCATGGCGAAGAAGAAGTATGACACCGCAATGGTGAAGTTAAGAACTAGACTTATGTGTATGGTTCTTGATTATTTCCATCGAGCATGGAATACACGTAACGAGATGATGGTGGTGTTCCATGCCTGCAGGCCCAACGGACAGGCGAGCGGGTTCAATCCAAGAGGAGTTGGGCATTACACGTGCCAGAAACATGTGTTTGAGCCCCATACCTTCAGGTACCGGACGCGAAGCGTGATGGCCCGTTGCAGGCCATCATCGGCGAGGAGTGGTTTGCGAAAACCCTTCTGTTGTTTCATGCCAAGGTTGTGGGCACGGTTAAAAACTATGCATTCGTCAAGTACTACAGGGAACAGGCCAGCGTTGATGCAGCCACCAAGTGCAAGGTTTTGCACTGGGAGGGAGTTGATCAGAGGTACCGAGTAGTCAGTATTGATAGCATCAAGCGCGCGGTACAGTTAGTGCGACCGGACAAAGACGCTGAAAAGTGGTTCGTTAATAGGTTTGCATGGTGAAAACTTCATACTGGGTAGTATATTTAAGTGGCCTGGCAGGCAAACAAAGCCATCTAGGTTGCCTTAGCCTTTTAAGACTCAAATACTTCAATCTGTATTTTATATTACGTTCCCAATTCGTTTGCAGTCAGTACCATGTCAGAATCCCAGCCACTAACCACTGGGATAAAAGGGCTTGTTTAAGTAGCGGGTGAGTGCGCCCATAACCCCCCAGGCCAACGTGCCTGTAACCCTTTCCTAGGATCAATTGGGGATCACCAGTGGACCTCTGACACCCCCCCGCACTGGGATGCCCGAAGTGCATACACCGGGATTCGAACCCCAGACCTTCGCTCTGATACCATGTCAGAATTCCAGCCACTAACCACTGGGATTTAAGGGCTTGTTTAAGTAGCGGGTGAGTGCGCCCATAACCCCCCCAGGCCAACGTGCCTGTAACCCTTCCCTAGGATCAATCGGGGATCACCAGTGGACCTCTGACATACCAGACAGCATACTTTGTCCCGCTTCCTCGTTATTAAGTCACCATCGATGCAATGGCAGCTGCCACACGCGACACCGTCAGACAAGGATAACTGCCTCGCATTGTGCACTGTGGGGTGCACCTGAATGTGGATGGCGGTGTCGCACTATTCGGTTGAAATCTTCCAGTTGCCAACACAGATGGTGGCAGCTTCCGTTTGGTTCATTCTGCGGCAATAACAGTCATTTTGGCAGCACGATAGTCGAAAGCGAGACACATTCAGGCATTTTCTCCAGCTACGTGCCACACTGCGCGCCGCACATGCGTGACATCAGCTCCGTTGGAGTCGAGGTCTGCGCGGTGGCGTCGTTTGTCTCACTTGCACCTTTCGAAGTGGTGTTTGTAGGAGATGGAAAATTTTAGTTGTAAACTAACCGCTTGACCGCGACCGTGGTTGTTCCATTTGCTTTCAAGTAAATATCAAACAAGTTCGTGTTGTCAGAACATATCTATAGCTTATACTGTTGTGTAGGCTGTAGTGGGGTATCCCATAGGGGGTACAACCCAGTTAGGGTTTCATATTTGTACTGCTTTCATTCATAGTTCATTCATTCCTGTTTTCCTACTATCACATGGTATAGAGCGGGTCCTACCTTAGGACCGTTGTCTGGGCCCACCGACGCGCGCCCCGAGGCGCGCCCTTTTTTTTTAGCGACCCCTCGGGTCGCCTTTTCACTCGCGGCCCCGCCGCCTCCTCTGACGCGGCTTTGCCGCCTCCCCTGACGTGGCCCCGCCGCCTCCTTTAACGCGGCCCCGCCGCCTCCCTTGACGCGGCCCCGCCGCCTCCCTTGACGCGGCCTCGCCGCTTCCCCTGACGCGGCCCCGCCGCCTCCCCTGACGCGGCCCTGCCGCCTCCCTTGACGCGGCCCCGCCGCCTCCCTTGACGCGGCCCCGCCGCCTCCCCTGACGCGGCCCCGCCGCCTCCCCTGCCGAGGCCCCGCCGCCTCCCCTGACGCGACTCCGCCGCCTCCCCTGACGCGGCCCCGCCGCCTCCATTGACGCGGCCCCGCCGCCTCCCCTGACGCGGCCAAGCCGCCTCCTCTGACGCGGCTCCGCCTCTGCTGCCGACGGCCCCGCCGCTGCACTCTACGGCCCGCCGCTGCACCCTGCCGGCCCGTCGCTGCTCCTGCCGGCCCGCCGCTGCACCCTGCCGGCCCGCCGCTGCTCCTGCCGGCTCGCCGCTGCACCTACCGGCCCGCCGCTGCACCCATCGGCCCGCCGCCTCTTACGGCCCGCCACTTGCACCTGCCGGCCCGCAGCTGCACCTGCCGGCCCGACGCTGCATCTCCCGGCCGAGCCGCCCCAGCAGCCGAGCCGCCCGGGACCCGAGCCGCCCTGCCGCCGAGCCGCCCGGGAGCCGAGCCGCCCTGCACCCGAGCCGCCCAGCCGCCGAGCCGCCCGGGAGCCGAGCCGCCCTGCACCCTAGCTGCCCAGCCGCCGAGCCGCCCGGGAGCCGAGCCGCCCTGCGCCCGAGCCGCCCAGCCGCCGAGCCGCCCGGGAGCCGAGCAGCTGTGCACCCGAGCCGCCCGGTCGCTGAGCCGCCTTTCTGCTGCCTGCACGACCTGCCCTGCCTGGTGAGCACTGTCCCACTGACACTGCGAGCTCTTTCCCTACTGCTTGCACTGCGTCGCTGTCGTCACCATGGCTACCCCTAGTGTCCTAGCTTTTGACGCTGAGGGTCGCGCCCTTGATTTTGAGGTCTGGTTAGACGACCTGCAGCTGTTCTTACAGTGCGACAGGGCTGACGACCTTTCTCTCTTTGACCTCACCTCTGGCGCCTCTCCTGCCCCTGCTGCTGATGCTGATCCCGCTGTCCGCTCTAAGTGGGCCACCCGCGATGCTGCTGCACGTCTTGCTGTGCGTCGCCACCTCCCTACCTCTGAGCGTGCGCACTTTAGTCAGTACAAGAGTGCTCAGACCTTGTACGACGCTGTAGTTGCGCGCTACTCCTCCCCTGCCACTGCTGCACTGAGCCGTCTCATGCTTCCCTACCTCTTTCCTGACCTCTCTGCCTTTCCCACTGTCGCTGACCTCATTACGCACCTCCGCACTAGTGACACTCGCTACCGCGCCGCCCTTCCTGCTGAGTTCTGCGCTAAGAACCCCCCCCCCAATGTACATCGCTCTCTACTACGTAGTCGCACGCCTCCCTGACTCCCTTCGCGTCGTCAGGGACCACTTTCTCGCAGTCTGTCCCACCACTCTCACCGTCGACCTCCTCGAGAAGGCCCTCCTTGCAGCGGAGAAGAGCATAGTCGCTGTAGGTGCTTCTCGTGGTGACCCTCGCACCCCCATCTTTGAGGGGTGCTCTCCTTCCCCCTTGCTGCCCTCTGTTGCCTCTGCTGCTGCTGCCGACCTGCTTGGTCTTGAGTCGGTCGGCGCGGCGTCTGCCCCTAGTGGGAGACGTCGCTCCAGCAAGGGCAAGGGGGGCAAGGGCGCGGGTGGAGCTGGAGGGGGCGGTGGCGGTGGCGGCGGTGGCGGCGGAGGGAGTGGGGGTGGCGGCGGGGCTAGTGGCGGGGGTGGTGGTGGTGGTGGCGGCAGCAGCGGCGGAGACGGTGGTGGTGGTGCCAGCGGTGGTGGTGGAGGCAGCGGCGGAGGTGGAGGCGGCGGAGGTGGAGGCAGTGGAGGCGGCAGCGGAGGAGGCAGTAGTGGTGTAGGAGGTGGAGCTGGTCGGGGTGGTACCCAGCAGCGTAGCGGCGGTGGTGGTGGCCAGCGCTCGCACCGGCAGCAGCAGCAGCGCTCGCGGGACATCCCTTCGCCTCAGCAGCTTCGTGAGTGGTACGCTGGGCGTCAGAGGGGTGGGGGTACTGGTCCCTGCACCTACGTTCTTCGTTCCGGCGACCGCGCGGGTGAGCAGTGTGGGGGTGCCCACGCCACCCAGCGCTGCTTTGGCCGCCTGACGGACGCTTGGCGTCAGCAGTTCCCTGGGGCTAGTGAGATCCCTCGCTGGGATGAGCTTCTCAGGGCTGGTGTAGCGATCTTTGATCTTGATTTTGATGCTATCCTTACTGCTATGTATGTTGTGGATTATAGTGAGGAGAATGAGGGTTACCGGTGTTTTCAGCCCGACCCGGGCATTGGTACTGCTGCGCTAGGTGCTTGTGAGGCTGCTGCTCTAGGTGCCAGTGCGTCTGCGCTCTCAGGTACTGGTGAGACTGCGCTCTCAGGTACTGAGTCGTCC